TGTGTGAGAGGTATGCAATGGTATGCACCAGACAAGATAGCCAGCATATGCTTGCCCTCAGCAGCAAAAGCCCTAACTTTCTCACGACACCTCTCATCATAGTTAATGAAAACAGAGTCCTGTCTCGAAGAGCCAGAGCGCTGCTCTAACATCTTGCGCCTCCACGCCTCGCGGATAACGTTTTTGGCAGACCGAAGCCTGCCTTGAAGGTTGCCTTCAAAAGACACGTCACCCCTACCTGACCAGACGAAAGGCCTGACGACAGAAAAGCCAAGGTCAGACATGAAGGTGCGAGGACGAGCGACCGCCAGACTGACGTCCCACCCTTGCAAAGACAAAGTGCCGTTGTGGACACCGCGCCAAAACGCCGCGAAAGCCGCCACACCAGACATGAAGGACTTCTGAAGGACAAGTCCGAGCCATGACCCGACAAGACCTTCAGGAGAGGGACAGACGCTTGACGAAGGTCGACGCCCAGGGACCGCCACGCAGCTTCAAGGTTGCGAGTGTGAGTCCTGGGAGGAGAAGACAAAAACCAGCCCCAGGACGCGACAGCGGCAGAAGTGCAAGAGATCAGAAAAGCTTTACTCCTCAGCTTAAGCGGAAGCGCCTTGCTCCTAGCAGCCACAATGTGGGCTGCCTCGATGCGTTTCTTCTCCTTAGCATGAGGCTCGCAGGAGGTGTTGCGCAACCTCCTTCGACCAGCGCCGGTCGCATGATAAAACTGAGCCTTGGCAATGTTCTCTTTAAAACCTAGCTTGGTTGACTCCCGCTTCCAGAAATTCCACGCAGCTTCACACTCCGAAGGGTTACTCGCAGCCCAAGATCTATCGTCGACGTAAATGAGTTGCAAGAGCCCGGGGTGCTCCTGCTGAAGCTTCAAGGCTGGGAGCCTGAGAGCGAGGCTAAGAGCCAGAACCGAAAAGGCACCCCTTGAGGCAAGGAAGAACCAGCCCACTGAAGAGCGTCAGAGCAAAGACCTGGCCAAGAAATGACCCTTCGTTGCTCCGTCCAAAGAAGCTTCAGGCCCTCCACTATGTTTTTAAGGAGGCCGGCGTGCTCCATGATGGCTCCGGCCCACGAGGGACGCAGGTGATCAAAAGCTTTGCTGTAGTCCAAGGTACCAAGGTAAACTGCTTCAGAAGCTCTGTGCTCCAAAGAAAGCACAGCAGCCAGGATGTCTTGGCCTTTTCTGCCTCCGACCAAGTGCGGAGGCAAAACACCTTCGATCCACTGCCTAGCGTCCTGACTTTTGACACGCGCACTGCCCAGACCCGAAGCCAAAGGGAGGCCACGCTGATAGGCCTCAGTTTGGAAGCCTTCAAAGTCTGGCCTCCCTCACACTCCTTAGGGATGCGGCACTGCCTCATGAGAGCCCACTTCCTAGGAAAACGCCCGCCCTTCTCCATGGTCTCAAAGATACACTCCAAGAGAACCCAAAGCTCAGGGGCAAAAAGAAAGCAACTCGCCTGAGAAGCAGCCATCAGTCCACCTGACCTGTTGCGCTGCCTTTCAGCCGCAGCCAGCTCAGTAGCCTTAACGGAGCTCCAAACCGCCTCCTCATGTGGAGGTCCATGCTCGCGAAGATACTCCTCAACGGGGGTCTCCCCTTCTGCAGAGCGATCCCAAATCCTGCGCCAAAAACTGGTGATTTTCTGAAGGGCTTGGTCAGAGAATAACTAGAGATTCGGCCAATGTCGTCACTACCGACCGCCAGAGACAGAAGAAGGACCGGAGAAACTCACAAAACCTCGGCAAGGAAAGGGCTCTCAGTCGCCTTTTCGAATTGGGCGTCAGTGCTTCGCCCTTGGACACATCAAAATCCTGAATTGCAAAGTCGGGTTTGGATCCCCAGGCACTCTCAAGCTCAGAATAGTCAAGCAAAATCTGCTGTGCAAGCGGAAGGCCAAACAAGAGCACTGCCAGGCAAACCCAACGGAGAAAGCTGTGCACCATGCGAAAGTCCTGGGAACGCTGCAGGTGTTTGAATCGCAAACAAGCAACTAGGGCGAGCAAGGCCACACATGTGAAAGAGCGCACAGACCCTGTTCCCGCCACGGTGCACGTAAAGCAGGCGGTCATCTGCCAGATTCTGAAACTTCAATTCGAACAGAGGCTTGGCTTCATCTTTTTGCAGAACAAGATCACGACCGAATACAATATTATCGCTACCACATAGCAATGCAACCTGGCACATCTCATCCGGACATGTTTGGCGCTTCTCAGAAGGTGCCGGCTTCTTCCGAGATACAGCTTCGGGTGGCAGCATGGCCAGGCGAAAGGCCTTGGGCATAAGGGAAGCCGGGGCGAACAGTGTGGCCTTAGGTCTCGCACACAATGACAGAGCCGGTGTAGGTCGAAACTCCTGGGTCGAAGGTCCCCGGCTAGGGACTGCAGCAGACGTAGACTGCTCTCGTGCACGATAAAGAATATCAGCAATTCGCCAGGCTTCTGCCATAACCCAAGGTTGCAACATCAGTCGTGAAATCGATGAGCTCCTGTGGCCTGGACACCAAATTGGCGAAATCAGCAAGGCACACCACACCCAGCTTCTCAAGGACGTCCAGACAATCATGATGCAGGGCAAGCCGAACAGCCAGTGGTAAATCCATGGCTCGGCTAGACACTCAATCAAAAGGTGCCGCCCTGCAAGCCACTATGGCTTCGGCGGCAATGTCTCATGCTTAAAGATGGAAATGACCCTACCCAACCATCCATCCATTTCCCTTCAATTCAATTTGGCAACATTCCACTTGGTTCTACCGTGGCTATAGGTAACTAGCCGAAGCATCACTTTCTGAAGAACTAATGCGGTTGGTAGGCTGTCAGCGGCACACGCTGCCCTCCTTCGAAGACTTGCGGAGCACTGGGTCCTCAGCGTTGAAAATTGCAGAGACAGGGGCGACGACGACAATCGCCAAAGAATATGATGATCATGATGATGATGATGATGCTGATGCCGATGCCGATGCCACCCACCACTACCCACCAGCACCCACCACCCCCCCCAACCACAACCACCCACCACCAGCCACTACCACCCACCACCACCCGCCACTACCCGCCACTCCCCTCCCGCCACCACACCACCACCAACAGCGGCAAACAAGAATGTGCACGGCCCGCAGAGGGTTCTGCAAATCTGAAACTTGCATCAATACGATACTCGTTCACGAAACCACAAGAAAAGCAAACATGTGCGGTGTTATGCAGCAACAGCAGACTAAGGTGTCAGATTAGCAACGGGTCTGCATATGTCTGCATCTCGCTCATAATGCTGACGGGGCTCCCTCAAGGGCGTCCAGCCCGAAACGTGTGGTGAAGTATGCCAGGTTTGGACCCAACCCCTAACACAGCAACGCTGACAGCAGGGCTTTCCGACAGACTTTCACAACAGCTCGACGTGCCTGGATGGTGCCCGGTCTGATGCGTATTGGCCCGAGTGGATTTCGACCACCGTTGGGCCGCATCAGCCGAGTCCGGTATGCTTTCCTTTGACGGACAAGAAACTCAACCGGGCAGGTTATTTCTTTGCGAGACTCGCTCATCAGAGCTGCTCTCGCATTTATCTGTTTGCAAGCAAAACAACCTTCCATCATCACGAGGCTCTCAATTTTTTGGTCAACTGACGAAGGCAGCCTGATGTACAACTCAGCGAAGCATCTCTGCCGCATCATGGTCGACAAAGTTGACGAAGGCCAATGCAACATTCAGCCTTTGCTAGAAACGTGCGTTAATTTGAAGGGCAACACACAACCATAATCCGTCAGCCCTCTGCTACTCTCTCGAGCGTGTCTAGTTCTTCGAATCAGACACTGGCGGCAAAACGTCGCGGGAGCCCTGTCCGCACTGCGACCCGGACCATGGACATGACTTTGACAAATTCAGCAACTGGGCTGCATCGTACACCCAATGCACCCTTTCCTGCCGGCCAGAGGACAGCTCGCGGCTCGCAACCTCGAGTTCCGTCACAAAGTTGCGACCAGGAGGCCCCGTCTGCTGGTCGTGAGGGACGTGCACGAAGTCGAACCGTCCCCTTGACGACTCGCGGAGAACCTCCACCAACCTCGGGAGAACCGCACCTCTGCCCGCAGCTCGGGATGACACCAACAAGCTCTGAGCCGCCTCTCTGTTGTGATGTGCTGTGGCAGCCGACGAATCACCAGACTTGTGGTGTCACGTCCAATATCTACTTCAATCCTGCCGGCAGTGCCAAATCACTTCTGGTCTACCGTCATTCGGGCAGACAGGTGGAAGCTCCCTTCTGAAAACCTAATCCAGCAAGCCTTCCAAGGCCCACGTAAACCGGAAATTCCGACTGTTGAAAGATCATCCCAAGCGCTCACTCGATTTTCGGGCTTTCCTGCCACCCCCAGGAAGCATCAAAAGCCTGGGCGAGAAGAGAGCGTGTCCTCGGTTCTTCACGGCCGCTACCTCGCCGCGGCATGCGCCTGAACACTTCTCGAAGGTTCCGCTTCTGATCGCAGCCGCTCTCTTCGGATTTCTGAGGCGCTGTCCTTCGAAAGGCAAATCCCGAGAACGGGGTTAAAGAGTTTCTAAAGTCCGACAGGTGCCCAATACCAGTCCCCGCAGGCCCTGTCGAAGAAATTGAATCTCTTGGCACTCGGAAAACAAAGTGTAGAATGGAAAACAGTTGTTGAGCCAGAACTACGCCAAGAGATTCTGGTGGGATCTTCAATCTCCACCGACGACTAGCTTTTCTCAGTTGCGCTCCGCGGGAAGCTGCAACCGGTGAGCGAAAGCTCCCTTCATGCTGAAGCAACCATGCTGCGTCGAGACATCGATGTCACATATGAGAGTTCAGAAATGACCAGCCTCACAAGGCACACGAACTTAAATGTGCAGCTTCGCAAATTCAGAATGCTGAGCACCTAAAGCGAGTTACAACTTGCGTCCCCAGGCAGCTGGAGACCGCCACAAGTGAACCTGAGACTGCCTGAGACTGCCTGACACATGCACACAAGCGCTGGGCCATCGGCGCGAGGATGCCTCGATATCATCCCGCAGCTTCTGGGCAAGCTCCGAGGAGTCGTCTGCCTAAGGCAGAAACTCCCTCTACTGACTGTCCGGCCTGAGCTCTGACCGCCAACACCGAAAGTACTGTGTTTCCAAACGGTCTCGGTGTGCTACCTGTGTACGAATCTGGAAGCAGCTAGCACAGAATGCTTCTAAGCTTCTGCACGGACCAGCCCTCCCTTGCGAACGGAGATGTCCCGAACTCGAAATCACAAGCTTCAAGCACACGGGACCACAGCACACCACAACTCCAGACAGAACTAAACAACAAAACAACTTGGCCGTCGACCGTGAATCCAAATATCACTCGACACAGAAACGAGCACGGCAGGTTTCCAGAGCATCTCTGTAGTTCCGTGACAAATTCGAGCTGATCTGCCATCAGGAGCAGATCATCCAGCAGCGCAAGCTGCTCACCCTGCCATGCCAGAACCTGGCTGAAATGCCTAGCGTTTAGAGTCAGAGCTTTTGAAGGTCTGAAGGGGTTGGAGGTCTGCGCAAGCTCGTGGCCAGCTCTCCTGAGAGCGGCCCTAGGGCCCGAGCGGAGAGGAGAGGGGCCCACGGACTCATCCTACCAGGTCCCCGTCTTAACAGCGGAGAGGGGGGCGATTCACACAACACCTGAGGTCTCAAGATGAGGGAGGAGCCCTGTGGGCAAGAAAGAGCCACAGCATCCCAAGATCCAAGACTCAAGCCTACTTGGATTTGGATCTGGGCCGAAGCCTCTCCCGGTCCAAGATTTCCAGCAACGACTTGTTAAACAGAGTGTGGAGGGGGAAGGGAAGGACTCTAAACAGGACCAGATCAAGCGCCTGGCTCTGGTTGGCTGCCCAGTAGAGGCCTTACGAGCATTCAGGGAGGGGAAGAAGGGTGAAACTGCCTCACAGCTTCCAGTGCTCCTGAATCCACCCATGGTGGATCTCGAAGTTACTGACTGATGCAGCAAAGCTCGGGAAGATCCCCGCAAGCAGCACCGAAACATACCAGAACCCAACCCATAGGCCAACGCAGAGCTTGCAGGCTTCACTCTTCACTCGACCTGGCCTTGGCGAGGTACAATCGAAGGGTCGAACACAGAAGAGGGGTCCACACCTCAAGGAGTTACCAACATCCGACTCGCTCGGCTCAGCTCAAGATGCTCGGTCAGTTCTTTCTGAAGCTGGCACATAAGACATAAGGCCTGCACAGGTTGCATATGCCTCGCAGATGCCTGCGTACTTCATGAAGCAGCCGCTGTTTGCGTTGAAGACTGCCTCAATGTCTCCACTGATAGATTCTGCCGTGGTCCTTGGTGGAGTTGCGACCGGACAAACCATGAGCCAGTCGGACAAGCTGATAAGCAGTTTCCGGCGGGAACTGAATTTTTTTTTGCAGGCTGATCCTAGATTGGCCTGGAGAACGGCTTCAGGAACTGGAGAGAGGATCCCAAACATCCCACTCTTGACCTGTCTGAGCTTCCACGAATCCTCCAGGAACTGGCGAGAAAGCACAGCAGCTGGAGTCGTCTCAACACAAAGGCGCCCATCTGCCACTGAAACAGCTGCAGCCTCGACGTTGTACCTTCATTAGTACACCACACGATAGCGACTGTGCTCCTCCCACGCGGACTCGTGTCGGTGCACATTGTCACAAGAAGTTCGACTACCGTGATGTTTCCGTGATGCCCTGCATTGAGACCCGTGTCCGGGGCACTCGTTCTTGAAAGCTCGGTTGAGGACTTCAGAGACGGAGAGTAAGTCATCGAGCTTCTGTAGAGCATCGCGCCTCAGCAGCTAAATGTGGCAGAGGCTTGTAGCACCAGCTGCTTCCGAGCAGCAAATCGTCTGCACACAAGGTGTCGAAGGACAGCAGGAGCACCACCAAACTCCTGTGTGCCCACAAATTGATTGGGGCTGCCCAGACCGACCAGTCTACTTGACAACCGAGCCTGCATACAGCCCGCATCAGCACATGCGCGGCATCAAGGAATGGACATCTTGTGTAAGCGGCATCTTCGCAGTTTTGCAAGCCCTGGATATCGCATGCCGACTGCACTCAGGCTACCACAGCCGTCTGAAAGAGATGAGGAATGGAATGGTCAAAGCTTCGCTGCGAGCCATTACAAGACTATCAGGACTTAACATTCAAGTGCGACCGAGATGATCTTGAGGGTCTGCTCTTTTAATCTGACATGCAGGACTGTCTTGCACTGGCACCAGCGGCCGACTGTGAAGAAACATGAGTAGTGGTGTCTGTCGGGATGCGGGCAGCAGTGGACCCGTCGTGCTGAGGGAGCGCGGTTGCAGCCGCACAAAGAAGGGCCTCAAAATCGCACTGCAACTTCCAAGCGTCAGGAAAACCCGCTGGGTCGCATGCGGTGCTATGTTACTTTTTCTGGGGCGGCCCTACGCGACTCTCACTCAGCACAGTGTCTCAAAACTTTGAGTATGCCTGAAGAGTCTGTGGATACGCGTGGGGAAATTGGGGTCGTGGACTTACAAGCGAGGGCCATGTTAGTCTGGTACACTAATTCGGTCAGGTTGACCCACCGTCGGCCCAGTAAAACAACAGCTCCTTTCATTTACAAGTCGGATGGGATCGACGAATGTGTTCGAAAAGCTTTAGCTTTGCTTTGTGGATGTGGTGGGTGATGTGAGGCTAGACTGCGAGTGTCCGAACCTTCTGGTTCGTGTGAGTACGTATGCTAGGAGCAATCCCGGGTCTGCCAGGACTTCATGGCCGTGATTCGTGATGATGAGACTGCGGATTGATGATGACTGCAGTGATGGTGATGTTATCACGATGGCGCCGGTGAAGGAAAGGAGGTAGTGGGAGTAACGTGGTCGTGGTGGTGGTGTCGAGGTCATCGTAATGATTGTGGTCGCCGTAGCATTGTTGGTCGCATAGCAGTAGCGGGAGTAGTAGAAGTCGTCGTAGTCGTACTAGGTTGCAAGATGCTAAGCTGAGCAGGGCCCTCAAGCGGTGCTGAAACGTACAGACTTTGGAGGCCAACTGCTGAGCTGATTACGCCGATTACGGCTCTTGAAATGCGGCTGAGACGCTCAAAGGCTCCCAAAAGATCTTTACTTTCTTTAAGCTGCTTTTGGTGTCCCATGTACTCCATCGGACGACGCCAGCAGACGCGGAGCGTTCAAAAGGCTACGGCCTCAAAATACACGTCGAAGGCAACAGTACCTTACGTCTGTTCTTCGCAGAACTGAGCAGGATCGAGTCCGCGAAGGAGTAGAGCCCTACTACTCGTTCTACTTCCACTACTACCGCCACTACCACTACTGCCAATGCTATTATTGTTATCACTGTTACCACTACGACTACGACTACGACTACGACTACTACTACTACTACTACGACTGCTGCCAGTACCATTACCACTACCACTATTTGCCTGCATGCTTCACCGTTTTCTGGGCCCTCTGACGCGAAGAAAGCAGCAGCAGAGGCGCAGAGGCCACAGGAGGCCGGAAAAGCCTGGACCTGCGCAGCTGAAAAGAGTTTCCAATGTTGAAGTGCATCGTTGAAGGCTGGGGAGTTTTCTTCTGTTCCGGAGTGGCCTTGTGAGCCTTGACCTGGCAACGAGGACACTCGGCCTCCAAGCTGACTCTGCCTCATGTGTCGCGGGGCCTGGTGCCACCAAGCAAATGGCAGATACAGAACTTCTCCTGGGCGAACAGTTACGACCTTGATGTTGGTTCAGGATTCAATTCGCAAATACTGTCGGGAGCAGAACAGGTGTGCACTTGTGCATTGTACAGACAGGAAAGATCTTCAGCCGTCGCAGAAGAACCGGGATAAGTTTCGGGCTGTGCGTCTCAGATTTGCAGCTTGCTCAGCATACCTGAAGTTTGCATGCGGCAACAGATATCACAAAGCCTTGCTGCAGGATAGCTTGCAGAGAATGAAGAACCCTGCGAACCCGTCTCTGCAGCTTGCCCTCCATGACTTGACAACATGCTCGTCTCGGGCGTACAGCTGTCCCTGCAGCTTGACCTCCATGACTCTCGGGCGTACAGTTGTCTCGACAGCTTGACCTCCATTACTTGACAACAGGCTCGTCTCGGGCGTACAGTTGCTTAAGGGCACTCGGAAGGAGGGTTGTCGATGTCATAGGCGGCATAGTTCATGACCTGCTCCAGGCTCTGTAGCAACGACACTGGAGCAGCAAAATCGTCTCAAAGAGGTCTGTATGTGGTAAATGCGGCTTGTTCCTGCCTCTCGCTTCCATCACACTGATGTTTTACAGTTCAAATTCGCAGCGGTTCGCAGCTATTGAGGTGGATTTAGGCCCACCAACTTACATTGTCAGCCTGTCTTGAGTGCATGGAGCTGAGCCACGTGCCGCTTCGCTCGAAAGGCCACAGGACTCAGCAAGGCATTCGTGCTTTTGAATGATAACACCAGCTTTGTTCATGCTTTTAACTGAAATTTCTGGGCACCGGTCCGTCCGTTTGAAGGTGCCACAGGTCCCCTGCCCACCTCAGTTTTGGGCTGTGTGGTTTCTTGGCACGAGTAGCATCTTCGTAGCACACTACTCTTCGAGACATCCTTGGAGCTGGCTGCTTGGCTCGGGCCCTTCGGGGGTCCCTGTAGGCCGGTTTGGCTTTGCCTCGAAGCCCCTACATCTCGGGTGCCATGAGACGGAGGAACGGGTTCAGCCTCTCGAGGCGGCCGGCGCTGAACCCGAGCATCACAAGGACATACGGGTACGAGCACAAGGAACACTGCGTAATGCACGAGACCACCGCACATGGGCCCATAGCAGCATTCCCGGCTTTAGGAGCTATCTTTGGAGGCTACAGACAGACGGCATTCAAGGCCCCGAATCTGCACCGAGTCAGAGTGCCGAGCTTTCGCTTTGCTCCCAGGTGGCCTCGGCTGATCTCGGCTTTTGCGAAGGGAGGACAGCGCTACGGATTTACCATCGCAGGAAAGCACATCTATCGGATAGCCGTCATCACTCCTGGCAACCTTCGTGCGACGGTCTCCCATCATGCCGTCATCACAGAGTTGCCACAACGGCTCAGAGCCCAGCGTAAGCCTTCCTTATTCGACCGTGCACCAGAAGGTCTGTATCTCCGGGTGGGCACAGGACGAACTCCTTCCAACATTTCTCTCAAAATCTGCCGTTCACGAGCGAAACTGCCTTGCCACACGGCATGCACGGCCTTCTCCCCTACGAGCTGCACAAACAGGTTCTCGTAGTTGTCGAAATGCAATGTCCTGGCAGCTACACATGGTCGCGATGGGACTACAGCAAACCCGCCAATGGATCGCTCTAAGGCAGACGCGACAAAGTCTTCCCACCAAGCCACATGTCGGTGCGGTTGAAGATCAGTGACCTCTTGCGCTTTTAGTAGTCGGGGCAGTCCGGAGCTTTTAGCATCCGTCTGTGCCTGATGCTCCCTCCAGCACAGGATTACTTCTGCGCGATTGCGCCAGATATATGACTGGAATCGCAAGAACGAGTGCTCATCCTAAGATCAGCGACCTGACTCTACGCCATGATATCTGCCTTACCACAAGCGCGAGGGATACAGGTCTCAAGCCCCAGAATTCTCCGACCCTCTGCTGAGTCCTGCACTCACCAAGAGACGGGAAGCCTTCTAGCTGAGACCTTGCTGCCGACAGGCCAAAACTTGGGATCACTTCCAGAGTGCCCATCACCCGTGTAAGGCATGTCAGCAGCTGGGCTCAAGAACTGCAGGAAAGAGAAGGAATGCTGCATGTTGCCGGCCCCGTCCGCATAGCAGGCCGGCCTCTTGCGGGCAATAGGTGCGCAACAGAAGCAAAGAGACGACGACGTGCCTCGCTCAACCACAGGATGTGTTGAAGCTGCACATGATGCACAGACTCACTGAACCCCAAGGCCTAAACTCCTAGGCCATTAACCGAAGATCCGACAAGTTCGCTTTCCGACACGACCCGGAGCTCCGGGCATTGCTTGACCCTTCAGCGAGGCAACGAAGTTAGACATGGGTACCTCGTGCAACCGGGTGGCACAACAGAGGGAGACAGTCAGGATAAGAAGGATATGATGATATGACTATGTGATTCATGACAAATATGACCACCTCCATCCAGAATGCACTGCAATCACGGAAGACAACGCAGTGCAGACCGGCAGACCGGAAGGCCGGCGGAGAAAACAAAGCGTGCCTTTTGTTCAAACGGTTCTTATGTCCGTTGGCTTCAGGGGCTTTGCTTTGCGAAGCTCCGGCTCGGCGCCTCAATCCGCGAGGCTGCAACAGCCAGCACAACATCAGAGCGCACCACTCCTGCAAGCGTTGTGCAGACAACAACAGCCAGCAGGGACAGCAACCTCGCAGCACGGCATCCTACTGGACATGACAGAGCAACTTTGGACCTGGCAGTGGCTCTGCTTCTTTGGAATCTGGCCAAAGGTGGGCGCTTTCCACCTGCTTGGCATCACAGCCCTTGGGTCGTAGGCCGATCAGAAGCAACCGCGACAAGACAGTGCGGGCGAGATGCTCTCAAGAAAGTGCGACAAGAGTGTGGAAGACAAGCCCCAGCCTCAAAACCTAGCATCTAAGTGCCGAACCCACTTGTCCCGTCCGTCGGCGAGCAAAGGTGCCACCTTCACGACAGCATCCGTCGGTGCCTGAGTTGATTCAGGCCGAACAGAGGGCTCCAGGGGAAGGGTCAAGCCACTTCCACTTAGTTGCTCAAATGACTTCCAATTCTTGCGAAGGTTTGTGCTTGCATCCACTCTCCGGCGAAGCCCTGCGAACTCTGAGCAAATCGTCTCTCAAAGCCCCTGAGCCGCCAGGATGCCATTTCCAGGAGCCGTTCCGGTGTCCACGATAGGGCAGTCTCCTGTACGTGACACTTCGCATGAACATTGAGAAGGAAGCCGATGTGCAAAAGCGACGGATACTGAAATGCACGAATCGAAAACTGAGGCCGCCACCCATGATTTCGGAAGCGCCCCTGTCAGTATGACAGGCCTAGCCGCGACAGATGGTGCCAAACTTTACGGCCCGACGTGGAAGTAGGATTGCCTTCCAATTTGCGACAGATTTTCCTCGTGAGCCGTATACAAGATTGCGTCTACAAGCCCGACAGGCCTCCGACAGTATGTTGGCCATATATGGTGGTGGCGCTTCTTGCTGCACAGCGCTTCCCATGAGTTCTTTCATGAAGTGGATCTGCATGAGCATGTGATGGTGAAGGCATGGAATGAAACCTATCCAGCATCAAATACGCTGGGTTGAAGGAACCTGTCGAAGAACAAGGTTCTGGAAGAAAGAGGTCTACAGACTCTCAGTCCCCGACCCACTGTTCCTCAACGAAAGCCTTGCGCTCATAACCCACTGTTTCATTCTGCCAACATCATCGACTGAAGGTACTCTCTGGTAGCCTCTACCGGAAATTCAATCTCCGACAGGAGCCAATCCTGCGATTGCGACATGTGCACTGTAGCCCCAGGCGCGACAAGCCCCTCGCTGGGGTTGGACTCGGAATCGATCCATTCATACCATGTACGCATGTTGCAACGCATACGCACAATGGCAGAGATAAAAGCAATCTCGTGTACATCCTCCTCTTTAGATGCTCCATAAATGGCACTGCTAACTGCCCCCTGGTTATCAATGAACCACAAAGCGTCTTGATTTTGGAACACGTGGCTGTAGAGCAAAGGCAGGAGCAAAACACAGAGTGTTTCACCAGGGTAGATTTGCTGTGAACGAGCCTTCCAAGATGCAACAACCTCTTCGGGCACCGCACAGGTGCCTCCAAACGGTTGGCTACCATCATGGGGGAAGATCACCCACCCTAAGCGGAGTGTGTCATTCTCGAAAGAAGCGTCGGTGTAGATGCGGAGAAAAGGCGGTGGCGAGCCCAAAATGGGGATGTCTCGCGGTAAAGCTGCTTTGACCATGGCTCTCAAAGCTAGCAGAGTCTGGCTATCCGCATCTTGCAACGGAATTGATTCGCTAGCCTGGCATTTACGAAGGAGTGGTGCGGCGTACCGCGCACCTGGCCCTGTAGCTGCTGAAAACAGCCACGTGAGCTCCCCTCTGAGTTTGCCGGCGTCATCCCTGGACATGTGATGCCTGGAAAGAATGTCATCAATCCGCTGAACGACCTTAGCAACCGTTGCAAGCTTAGGTTGAAACCTGATCCTACCTAAAGACTCAGCCTCGCCTACGTGGATTGAAGTGCCCAAATAGTTCCTATCTGCAGCAGGTGCAAAGCTTTTGGGTGGTTGCGGCGGCGCGCCACAAGCTTTGAAGATGCAATGCAGGCCTGCCTGAGACACGTCGGAGTGGCGCACAAACTCCAAGGACAACTCATCATCGAAGTAGGCTGCTGCCATTGATGAAGTACAACGTCTAGCTACACCCAAAAGGGGGAAGCGGTTGAAAGCGACCACAGCAGCTTCCAAACCGTACGCCAACCCATAAAGGATGGTAAAACGCCAACCAAGACCCTCAACAAAAACCGCAACCGAGGAGAATCTAAGGTGTGAATCCTGCACTGGATGCCCTCTGTATGCATCTGGGAGGTCGTCAGTCGCGAGGCGCATGGAAAACCAAGGCGGGATCTCTGCAGGTTGACGGATTGCCATCGCGTCCGTCACTGCACGGGCAGCGCTTGCGACGAAGTCCACGGATACGACATGGATCGTCTCCTCCATCTCAGTGTGTTGATTGTGCAAGGTACGGCGGGCATTGTCGATCGCCACTACCTTACCACATGGCTGGGTTATCAGAAATCTTTCTAGGGGTCGCCACTGATGTCGGCCAAACATCGCGTCCATCTGCGCCCTCGTGAAAAATTCACTGCAAAAGCCCTTGCTCTGCTCCTCCTTCGTGAGGCGTAAAATTTCTGCTGCCTCCTTTGGTGGGCGTTGTTGCATAATTGCGTCCACAGCCTCCTTAGCCGAAGTAGCTAGCCAAGCATCGGTGTCACTCTCCTTCTCGTCCTGCTGGACACTGCGAAAAACCCTGACGCCTCGACTCGGCCTACAACTGGAAAACCCAGCAGCATTTGTTGGGCTTGAGTCACATCGGGCCAGCGGAGGATTGCAGTAAAGAAAGCAATGGCTGCGCAATTTTTAAAAGATGCAACTTTCTTTGCACTCGCACATTGAAAAGGCACCAGAGCTTGGTTCAAGCAGGCAAGTGCGCTGAGGCAGCTCCTGATGCAATCACGCTGGCGTTGAGCGAGGACTGGTAGCCAATCGCCCCAGGTGGACACCGTATGGGCGACGAAGTGGACATCGTCCTCCTGCCAGCGGGCGTGCTGGAAGGGGGATGGGAGCTGCTGTGATGCCGCCATGTGGTCCTCCTTACCGAGACCCGGTGGGAGCAAATGATCTAACCCTGTAGCCGAAGCAGAAGGATATCGCTGCCCACTGGCACTCGTGTACATACGCGCTCTAGACCTGGCATCAAGTGGAGTGGGCCCCACGTTTGTCCACGTAGCACCTCGGCCACGTTGCCATGCGGTGAAAGCCTGAAGTAAGTGGATAGGGCAGTGGTCTAATCTCTGCTGCACTTGCTTCCACACCGAATCTGCAATGGGAATCTCTGGGAACTGGCTTCGCATGTTTACTACCACCTCCGCTGCATCAAGAATCCCTGGGAAGTTTGGCAAGTAGTTTGGCTCCCAAATGGTATCGCGAACCCTTGCAGCAAGGTGATCCGTAGGGTAACCTGGGATCTTTGACGTTGCATCGCGAGTGGGAGGCACAAAGCATGCTTTGGCTCCGCATACAACATGCAGCAAACAGAAGATGGCCAACAGAGATGGGATATGAAATCCGTTCCCTACAGCTGAGTTGCGCTTCTGATCCCGGATTGCTGCTGTGCCTTGCATAGCCTCAGTACATGCAGGAGGGATGCCCATGACTTGAGAGCGCTCCTCCGGCGATGGAGTCCTCCACGCCTCCAAGCGCCATAATAGTGAGTGTTCCTCATAGGACCCAGGTGGGAACCGTTTGCGGTCCTGCAGGAACCTTGCCGCTGCCTCCGGTGATACTTCACTGTGGTCCTCCGGATGAAAGAACTCACGCGTGAATGTGCACATGGGTTGGCCTAAACCCTTTAAGACGGCGTCGGGTTGCACCAGGGGTTTGAACCCCTGCTCCCAAAATATCCTAGCCGGTATGGGCTTGGATCCGGCATACCTCAAGGATGGCCCGTGGGTGCATGAGTGCATGCACCTTCCTGCCACTCCCAGTCTGCGGGTGCCGGACACTTGGAAGGATGGGGGGAACCCTTGCGACCCACAAGCCAAAACAATCTACGCCTACGAGTCCACCCACAACTTGCAGCGTCAATCTCAATGGGATGACCGGACAGCCACTCGTTGTATTGATGCACCGTCGCAACATCCGCACTAGCCACATTCTCCAGAAATCCAATGACCTCCAGATCACTGCATGAACCACCCCCAACTATAATTCCCTTAATCTGACGGCGCTGGATGAACGGTAGAATGGTCTCCACCGTGATGTGCTCCACACGCGGAACATGAACAATGCTGGGACAGCATGCGCGGGCACATTGGACGGCTGATTCATCGGACTCTGCCGCAATGCAGTGAAAGTGGAGACCAAGGCTCAGCAGTGCCACGCACAAACCAGCGATCCCGGACCACAGATCAATGACCAGCCAACGCCCTTTGATGGCCTTTGCCCATGGGACTTGGAGTAGATCACCCCGCCCCCGCCATGTAACCGGTCGTGCTGCCGCCAGCTCCTGAGCGGCATCTCGTGCAAAGATACTGTCAGGACCCCTGGGAGTTAATACCACCCGGTTGGGAGGTGCAGGCTGCGGACCTTGGTAGTCCATGGTACGAAGATGGGCCTTGTTCATGCATACCACTCGGGAAGACTCCATCTCCCACTGCGGCTGCTTGGGCCTAAGGGGGTTCGGAGTTGCAGGTGAGGATCGAGAGGTGGGTATCGGGAAGCCTAACCTAACCAAAACCCCCAAGTCCTCACTACCAACCTCCCAGAAACCCTGATTGGTGAAGACTGTGAGCGACCATCTATCGCCCTGAAACGGTGCAGTGGCGTGCAACACTGATGGAGGGAACGTACATGGCTGCAGCCGCGTGGGTATCACGCAGCCCCAAATCGCAGAGCCATCATGCGACGGCAATGGGTCTGTGCCGCCACTAGATTGAATCCACAGTCCCCCTCCAGTGAAGGACCCGAGAGATACAGATCCATTCAGGGATCCTTCCAAGTTGCGATCGTCACAATGCGGTTCAGCCACCTCGTTGTGAGAGATGGCAATGCTAGCCCACTCCAACCCCGGGAAGCACACCTTCAAGAAATTGCAAAGTTGGCCGACAACCTGAGGCTTTTGCCTGGTCAAGGCGGTGATGCTATTGCGAGGCCCATGACTGAAGTGACCCACCACAAAGTAGTGGACACTTGCGGATGCTTGAAGCACCGATGGTCTATGATTAGGGACAGGCTTCACAAAATTCTGACACAGCAGTTGCACGCACACCTGCCCAACACTAGCAGGCACTGCCTGCCCCCGCATTGCGACAGACTGCAAACATCCTGGAATGGCACTGGATTCCCCCTGGCCTGCAACCTGGGCGCCCCCCTGGGGGCAGGAGGCGTCCCTTCCTCAGAAAGGGTGGCTGAGGCGGTTATGCTTGGTGGATCCGCATGCTGAGCCTGAAGGAAGTTTGATATCGCACCCGTGGACATCCCCACAATCCCCCTTGCATCCCCTGCCGCCGCCTGCCTCCTTTGAGAGTCGAGACAGTCTGTGGCTGGCCCTGAGGTCTGCTGATCTTTGGGGGTGTTGCCAACTCGTCGTCGAGGCCCTTGCGCTTGCGATCATCCTTGGTTGGTGCAGCTGGCGGCGCCTGCACTTTGGGAGTGGGGCTGCGCCACTCCAGGTGCGTTTCATGCAATGCTTCACGCAAGCTATGGCCTGCCGACCATCCGCGGCGTACTTTGGATGCCATGAGGCCACGTGTGAGGACGTCGTTCTTATGTAGCCAGGCAAGTGAGCCTCCCCCGAATTGAACCGTGTCGCGCAAACAGCTGTCTGCGTAGTTCAACGCCTCATCGAGCTTGATCATGCGTCGCTCCACGGAGTCGGGGTCAGTAACCATGTAATTACCAGCCATTGCCCAGGCGTTGGTGAGTATCCTGAGGCTGAAGTAGTAATCGATGACCGTGTTGACGGATTGATGAGCCTCCTTGGAGAAGTGAAGAGTGACCGAGCCCTGAAGGGTGACTTGCTCCTGCGAAGCCGGCGATGTGCTGGACAACACACTCTTGATCTTTTTCACCTCCAGAACTGTGAGACTCTTCCTCCGAAACTCTCTGAAGATCCTTGCTCTGAGAGTATCTGACGGCTCGAGATGTGGCTCAATGGAGAACCCGTAAGCATGCTGCCAATCTCTCTGAAGTTGCGCCTGTTGTTGCTCAGGCAGTGGATCGTCATAGTCATCGACCTTGGCCCCCGGCGATTGTGACATTTCGATGGCCTTCAGGCCACTCTCAAACGCTCCACGGAATCTAGCCAGGATCAGGCGCGAATCCTTCAAAGAGGGCACCTCATCGAGGAGGGTTTTGATTTCATCCTGCCACTTCGCTCGGTCAATCATATACACAAAATCATCCAAAGTCTCGAGCTTGAAGTGGTTGATAAAGTTAGTGGCCCAAGTATCCTGAACATTCGCAGCTGACAGACACGCCTTTAAAGCCTCTGTCTTGGGATTGTAAATCGATGCTGCGAGCTTGCGACATGATCACTACACTAAGCAACCTATCGACGCCTCGAAAGGGCCCTGAGCCTGCAAAACTCTGCGCAATTTGGATCGCCAAGGTGCTGCTCAACCCCGTGCGCCCTCCGCATCTCATGACCGATCAAAGCCGTGTGTCATGACATATTTTCTGGAGTCATTTGTTTTTCCACCACTGCCACTTGACAGGGTGTTAGTCTAGCGTGTCCAAACAATCTGAACAGAGCCCTGGGTAAGTGAGACAGCCCGCTATGCCAGACGTCTGCGCTCCCGCAGCGGCCAGCTCCAGGTTCCATCCGCAAACAGACAAGAGCTCTGAGAGGCGTACTGCTGCACGGTGGATCACGGGACCCCCAGTGGCAGTCAGCATGCGAAGGGGCAGCCGAGCTCCCGCCAGACAGTGTAAATCCGGAACCATATCATTGAGGACTGCTAGCCAGTTTACTGTTTACTGTTGGCGACCTGGGGCAAGCTGATTCGATGGCCGAGCAATTCTCTGCAGAGGCATATTTCAGGCTGGTCAACAAATCCAACAATGCCCGGCACTCAACAAAGTCGGCCTGCGGTAATGGTCTGAGGATGTTGAGGATGCTATGCCTTGGGCCCTCGAACATAGCGTCGAAAGCATACCCAGGCTCGACCTTGGCCACAGTCGCCAACAAGCAGATGACCTGCCAAGCCGCCGCAACATCTGCTTCACTCCATGCAGCCGGCATAGCCTCTTTCTAAGATGGCACCTAATGCCAGCTCGAGCGCAAACTCAAAACTGCATCACCGCAGAGCACTGCTATGGCATGTACTCGAACCTTGCAGATTTGCTTTCTAACACCGGATGTCGCGACATCGCCTGCCCGCCGATTTTCTCCCATGAGATATCAAGCTGCCAGATCCTTGATGGCCTGCACGATGTACACTGGAGCTCTCGACAAACATTTACTACAGTATTTTGCGACATTATCAGAAGGCAGCCCTACCCCTCCGTGGACGGGATCCTGGGGAAAAGGCTGCTCGCGGCACCACGGTATACTGCGCATTTCCGCATCTCGCTCTCTTGTCAAGTGCACCTTGTCGCGCTGCTGGAACCATTCCAATTCAGCGCACTCAATGACACCTGGAGTGCTCTCTGCACCCGATGCGCTCCCCGACTCACTGGATGATGAGGATGCATCCGCAACGGTGGCACTGACGGGCTTGACTGTGTTAACGGACGAAGACGATTGCCTCCCAAGTCCAGGAGTCGGGCTTAAGAAGAGCTCCTTGATTGGAGTAATCACCCGCTCTAGATCTATGAGATCGCCACAACTTGGCAATCATGTCCAGCTTAACCTTGCACTTCGGGCAACTCGCTCCCCTGCATAAAGCACAGACATGGGTAGCTTATTGGCGGGTGCTTTGGTGCTCTGGACATTCTCGGTCCAAGATCCCACAGCTTGCGCGGCATCTGCTCCCGAGCATTCGAAAACCATAGCAGCTGTGGGCATGAACCTGCGCAACCGGTTGTAATGAGCCGTATGCGCCTTACTAGGGTGGAGGCCCGCTCGTGTGAGGATACCCCTGAAGCACTCCATGAATCTTGAACGTGACATCTGGCGGTTTGCCACAAATGGGGTGTCCTCCAAGATTTGCCACAAGTGTTCAGATGACAGCTGGATGGCGGGCCACAAAAATGTAGCTCGGGGATGCGCCACCTCTTCATGGAATTGTAGCAATGTCTCATGAAGGCTGAACGACCCCCGGCAGACCTCAGGACACGCCCACCGATACGGGGGTCTACAACCCCCTCTTCTGGACTTGCCCATACTGCATTCATATTCAAGCCATCCCGAATGAGCTTGGATCAGCCTAGACCGCTGGGCATGCGCAAAATACAAGATACCGCACTCTGCAGCACAAACACCACAATTGTGCGACCTGGTCCAGTCAGCTCCTCTGCAAGCAACACTAAGTTCAGGAACTCCCATGGTTCGAGCTCCTTTGCTTGTTTGGCCGCATGTTCACAACGCACCAACTTATATGGTATGACCAGGAAGTGCATTAAGGGCCACCCAATCCCGAAGTTTTTATCTAACCAAGCCATGCTCTGGAAGACTGAAGCGGCTGCTGTGGGACCTCCTGAAGCAACTTCCTGGAAGAAAGCGGCCATCTCTGCAGGGGCAGGCGTGGTCACTGACACACGTCTATCCCCGGCAAATTTGATCCATCTACGCAAGCTGGCAGTCGCTGTAGCAATGTATGCTGTAGATGCACGGGAGGCCCCCTTCATGACCAGCTGGCAAGACTGCAGGCTCTGTTGTTCTTCAGGCGGGATACCTAGATGTGATAAGTCTAACACATGCTGCACCAACAGTGAGAACAAAGCGTGGAGCTTACTCTCTTTTGCATCAAGAACATGAACTGGTGACGACGTGCTGCCAACCGCAGCCCTTGATTTCACGTCTGGCGCAGATTGCCGCCAGAGGAGTTTCATCTTGACTTGGCGAGGTTGGTCAAAGGGTGCCGTAACATAAGGAGCAACCCTGTTGTGCCTCTGCCGAAAATTTGACTCGCGAACAGCAATGACGGCATTCGTCCTATCAGCCAAATCTCTGGACGCTAGTCGACGAGCACGTGAATATATTTCAGCAGCTTCAATAGCGATATCAGGCGAAGCTTCAGGATTGGCCCGCAGTTCTGCGACGAAGCTATGCACATCAGACCAAATGCCCACTACATCCGCAGGGGTCTGTGCTCCTTCCGCGATCAGAAGCTGCAAGATCTCAGGCCGAACTGCCGTACACCAAGTCTCCCCCCAAGCCCGGGGCCATAGCAGCAGCAGAAGAAGAAGAATAAGGTGCTACTGCTCAGCTCGGGCCCCAGTGCTGCAGCAGTAGCATACATGATCGCACTTCAAGCTTCAAACAGACGCCTACCCAACCAACCTACTTGTTTGAATGCGAACTCTTCGACTTCTTAAAAGCCTTTCCTCTTCCCCGAAGTGCGAAGTGCAGCTTCTGCGAGAAAGCAGCGAACTCTCTCTCTCTCTCTCTCCCTCTCTCTCCCCCGCGGCCCAGGCGTATTCTCCACGACATACTTCTGCACCTGAGCAATGGATGGCTCTGGGCGAACTCTCTCAGATCATCCACGCCTGAGCCACGACTGGTTCGGAAAGCAATTGGTCACTGGTCTCGACCGCGATCACGTTCGTCGGTGCTTCGATCAAGACTTCCCGGGCTCTCAGAGTACATTATGGAGTGCTTGAAACATTGCAGCTATGTATAGTAGCCATGAAAACCAGAAGCTGCAAGCGAAATGACATCCTTTCCACAGCACACGATAGACCGCCAAGCAAGCCGCCCCTTTGCAAAAATGTAACAACAAAAACAAGCGGATACGTTCGTATGCAAACGAAGGGAGCTAAGGTGCCCACGAAGCTGTCCGGCGTGAGCTCTGCTGCTGCCACCTCCATAGCTGCGAGTGTCCAAGACGACCCATCAGACCATACCCGAGGACTGCCCAAGAAGGAAGAAGGGAGTCCGCCCGAAGGAAAGTTCCGTACTGCTGATTTCTGTGGCGCGGGCTCGCTCCACAGCGATGCACGATCTCATTACCACCAGCCTCGCTGCATGCAATCTACAATCCCACGAGACATCTTGGGAGATTTGGCCGTGAGCCTCCAATAGCAAAGTGGCCATCGCAAAGCTTGTTGAGAGCTTTCGTCCCTCTGCAGTTTAGTATGCTAAAGTCGTCGAGTGATCCCGTTTCGAGTCTTGCGACTGGCATGCCATTGGTCGAGGGTGGTGCTTGTCTGGATGGTCGTTGCTGGTAGATCAGTTCGGACCTCAAGGAAGCTACAACCGTTGACTGTAGTCACTGTATAGTCTCGGTACTGAGCCCAGCATCCATGAGCCAGTGGAGACAGCTAGGGACGATAGGGTGCCGTTTCCAGACCACTCCAGGTCATATCCGATCAGAGCTGAAAACATCCTAGACTGTGTTTGGGAGGCTCATTCAAGTCGCGAGCTGAATAGGGTGTGCCTCGGCTGCTCTCAAAATAAGTTCAACTGTAAGGCTGCAAGGTTTCCAGAATACTTTGCTCCCTCTGTGTGGCACAGTGCACAAGACAGGAACTTGATTGAAAACACGGGCGCGTGCACAGAAACCGAGTTAGGGTGGTCATGCAGACGAATTGCGGAGGGCCCTCTTGGATTGTACAAGGCAAAGCGGAGCCGGGCATCACGGGCCCATGGCTCTCCTACTGTACAAGCCCATCCTTGAACTTTCGAATTGCTTTCGCACAGCAGGGCAACAAAGGCTCTATCACGGAATAGCAGCTGAACTCCGTCCAAGCGCTGCCCCACTGATGCTCTAAAGAACTACTCAGCTCATGCAGCGTGCGATCGAAGATCAGGCGCCAGTGCAGATTTTCAGAGGCACTTGCAGCGGCTTGAGACATGCTTAACAGCGTTCAGTCACTGACCGGGGAGTGACTCTCGTCCATCCGCAACCGTGGTTTCTGAATCTTCTGCAAGGTGGCCTCGCGAAGCGTTCCAATGCAGCAACAGAAGATGGCCACTACAATGAGTCACAAATCCCGACACACTTGAGCGAACGATGCTGGAGCGAAAGGCAATTAATCTAAGCTGTCCGATCGACAAAGGGGCACAACTAGAGAAAGATCCAAACGTAAACCGCCTGGTGCACCATCTCCTTCACTGCTGCTCTCAGACCTTCAGAAGGCGATCGCTCTTGCAGAGCTCAGGGATGTAATTCCGACAAATTAGTCCGGCGGGGTACTTCCGACAGCACATGGGCTTGCAAAAGGAGCTCTTTTTCGCCTGCATGCTTTCATTGCACAGCCGGCCACTCCTAGGCTGCAGTCCAAGGATTTTTCTCCTGCTTGTAACCGCAAGAGCTGAATTCGGGAACGCGGAAGATTAAAGCATCAGAATCCTCGGGTTTGAAGACAAACACCCCTCAGAGAAAGGGTAGATCCCTCAGAAACGAAAGCCCCTCGGAAACGAAAGCATGGCTTAGCCATGTGGAGCCCTCATGTTCGAAGTGGAGTCATCCACACATGCCTCTCCTGGAAAACAGGGTTACTGCATGGCATAGTGCTGTCGTGGCATCTCATGGAGGGACTGGTATCTATGCCAGCACTCTCCAAGAGTTCTACCATTTCAACATCTCCGGAACTTGCGGCGACTTGCAGCGGGGTGTCGCCAGCATCATCGACTCCATACATGTCAGCTCCAACTTGCAGCAAGAAATGGGCCACGTCAAGGTGACTGCCCCTGACAGCGGCATGCAACAGCCCATCTGTTTGCATCTCCATGCCGTGCCTGAGCAGGAAAAGCATGAGCAAGCGAGCAATCTCCAGATGGCCCGCCGCACATGCAATCTTTAAGGGTACCTGGCCATGCTCATCCTCCAAGTTGATGTCGGCACCGGAATCGAGCAGGAATTGACAGACGGCGATGTGTCCTCTGAAGGCCGCCGCGCATAAGCCCTCAGAAGGGTCGGCACCATGTTCGACAAACAGGCGCACGACATCCAAGTGGCCCTGCCAAGAAGCTATGTACAAAGGTGTAAACCACCCTCCGATGCGACGGTGAAGGCTGGCACCGGCGTCAAGGAGTGCCTGTGCTACATCGAGGTACCCGTTCCTCGCAGCAGCAAAGAGGACCGTCTCCCCACCGAAAGTGTTCGTGTCCGGACATTGGCCCTTGGCCAATATCTCTTCAACAGCCAAGGCATCGCCACCGGTCACAGCCTCCAAGAGGTCCCCGCAAAAGTCGTGCACCGTCGCAACAGGGGCCGCTTGTACCACTGACAGGTGCGCAGGCTTTCCCATGTCATGCCAACCATCCCGGCTGTTGATGGCAGTGTGGCCATCCAATAATGTCAGCCTGAAGGTTGGGCAGGATAGCTTCCTGGAAAGGAGCCTTTTGAGGTCTTGCGCTCTCCAGCCACTCGGCAAAGATGCCATATCGATCTCAAGCGTTTCCCCCGACATCTGGACCACACACAACTTCTCAGTGTGCGACATGCTCTGCTTGGGCCACGGGAACTACAGAAGCCTTGTGCAAGCAAAATGCATGCCTTGGCTTGACCCAAATGCTGCCACTGCACACGCCAAAGTCAAGTCCCTCTGCCGTATACAGATTTGATGCTTGCACGCCCCACACGATGCGCCTTCGTGATGCAAGGCTCAAGGCCGTCTCCGGCGTCGCCTCGACATGCTCTGCTCCCCTCCCTTGTCTAGCTTTACCTCTGTCCTCTTCCAAACTCACAAAACTCAAAGCTACAACCAACTTTCAAAGCAGATGCTCAGTGTAACCGAACCGCCTTGGAGCTAGCTGTGCAGGAAGGCTTCTGCAGCTTCCTGCCGAGCCACAGCCAGCCGGCACTTTCCAGGTGCATAGTCAGACACAGCACCACGATAGTTCCGACTGATCTAGTCATGTGCAGGAGTGTGGCCTTTGGAGATCTAGCGCCATCTCGCCTGGAAGACGGTCCCAGCACATGTCAGTGAAACAACACCATCTGCAATGACTAGTAGATCCAAGCGAGGGGTGTCTCAACGTAGATGCAGCTGTCTTCTTGCAGCCGACAGACGCCAATACTCAAGCTGTGACTGCAAGCTCGAGGAGCATTGAACACCGGCCCGTGGATTTGATGTCCTTACCACTTCATCCACTTCGCTTGTTGGGACGATGCAGCTTTGGCTTTCAATACGCGGACGTGGACAATACACTAGTGCTTCTCGCGTTTCTAGCTGCACCACTGGCAGCTGTGCATCTATCTGCGTATGTGCGAATCTATCTGCACCTTTCTGCACTCGTCTGGGGCGTGTCTCGGTGATCTGAAAGCCCCTTACCTATCGAAATACCTGTGATTGTGACTCTTGTTGTGGGGGGCTCGCATGTTTCTGTTCCTGGCTATAACGTATTCATACGAGCTAGTCCGGTCGTTCCGCACACGGCCACTCAATTGTTCAGCTAACAGCTAGCCCGCGAGTTTTCGAATTGGCAAGCTGCTCTATTTGCTTTTTGATGTTTCTGTCAGGTACCTTTTCGCTCGCAGATTGTGCGAGACTACTAGGTGGTCACGGCGAGCCTGTCACGATCTGAAAAAGATCTACTTGAGGAGCTGGTTGTGCTCTACAACCGAGCGTTACATACGGCCGCACCTTTCAGTACGAACACACACACACACACACATGCGCACTTGTATGGAGCGTGACTACAGGCAGACAGACGCCCTTGCAGACAATCTGTATGCATGTATGCATGTATGCACAGAGTGTATTTATATATATATATATATATACATGTATGTGCATATACAAAAAGCTGGACATGGGGGGAAAGACATCTCCCCGACAAACCTCACACTTGCTGGCACAAGGCACGGCGGCGCTCCCTGTAGACCCTGCAAGGCATACCTGGAGAGGTGCGGCAAAGCTGCAAGATTCCGAAAACTTTTGGAACCGGCCATCATTCAAGCAAGAAACTGTTTCCGGTGCTTTGAGATGTAGGGGCTTCAGCCCGAAAGCGTGCAAACGCGTGTCGTGCAACCCCCCGCCTGATCGGCGACGGAGGGATTTCCGCTGCCTGCTTCAGAACCAGCAGACAAAGTATCTTGTGTGAAATTAGAACCGCATGCTGGAGTTCCAGGGTGGCTTGCTACCCAGATGCGTCCACCGAACGCGTTTGCTATGCGAGTACCGACGAACACGCAGCCGGCATTGCAGTTTCGCTTTCTTAGCCCACTTCGTTGATGATCATGCGCGAAACTTTGCGGCTCAAGGACTGCAAGAAACAAATCAGAGATTACGATTCCAAGGACTCAATGTTGCTGACTGCAAAATTTTTGCCAGCAGATTTTAGGCAAGAAGTTTCTGAAGGGACTCTGGCCAAATGCAAAATAGACTTGACAGATTCAGATTGATCACGCAGACCACCGGACCAGCCTGACTTCCAGGATCTCCAACCTATTCACCGAAGCAGCCGCGTGGGAACTTCAAGAGCACAAGAGGGGTTTCCAACCAGGCCTCTGGTTTGCTGGGAGAAGATCCATCACGGCGTAACACTTCCTGGAAACTGTCAGCATCTGTGTAAAAGATCACGATCGCGAAAATCAACCTATGCCTTTATCGGGCTTCTTCTCTTTGATGCTAACGGTCACTAACAGCTGCAGCTGAGGACGGGACCATGAATGGTCCAGTCCAGAAGGCCAGCTGCTGCTGTTGCTGACGAATGAACAGCGCTCGGAGGGATTCACACTCGCCTCGTCATGCAAATGATGGATGCACCCTGTCCGTGAAAACATTCGCTTATCTTTCATTGGATAGGCACATATTCATCGTCATCATCACCAGCCGCAGTACTCGGCCCGTCTGCAAGCCGTCCAAGCTCCCGGCGCTGAAGCGCCATGTGATCAGTAGCCAGCTGGTCTCTCTGGCGCTCCACCTCCGTCAGTGCTACTGGATGGCTTTGTACTCGCGACGTCTGGGAACCCCGCCTGCTGCAGTCGCTCCCGGCTGCGTGCCTTTGCCAGGTCCAGCTTCCTGCGCGGAGGATTGCACTCGGCACGGTTGGCATCGAGAGTCACGGCAGAGAAGCGGGCTCAGCAAATGCTTGTCACATCGGCGATCACACGACATGTCTTTGCTTTGTGACAATGCCACCTGGGGCCTGGGGCTGAAAGGGTTTAGGGTTGCCCTCACGCCCTATAAATGGAGCGGAGTTTTCGCCTGAGACTGCCAGAACGATGGTAGAATGTCAAAGGAACTCGCCAGCCAATCATGCAATCCATCCAGCCGTAGTGAAAGGAGAGAAACAAGTACTTCCGAAAACCATGTGTTCGCCAAGTGTGTGATAGCGATGTATCAAACCCTGCACCGGAGCTGAACATTGCCTTAAGGCAGCCCTGTTTTCCTGTTGTAAGTCGGAGGACATGTGCCACAGGCTTCCTGCATTGGGCAAAGAGTTTCTCAGAACTTGCTGCTCGCTTTCACAGCAGGAGCTGGCACTCTTGTTCCCGGCCCTGGTCCGTAGCCACAGGACTTGGGCCAAACTAGGGTGCCAAAGGAAGAATCTTTCAAGCATGACTCAACAAACAACATAGCACGATTCAACACGCACAGCAGCACGACTCAACATGCAGATTGTACCCTTTCGGCTACTCATTTTTAGGTAAGTTCGCGTCGTTTCCCGATGACAGCAGCGCCGACAACCCTTGACTGAAAACTGCTCGGGCGCAATGTCCTTCGCAGCTTCTCGTTTTCGGCGAGCAGCTCATCAGACGGGCGGTCCTGCTCCAATGCAGCTACAATCCCCGAAAGATGCCTTTGGCGAAAGAACACCAAGACTGTAAATACTGGCAAGCACGCCTGCACCTGTCTAGAAACAACTGGCTGGTTGAAGCTTTGCGCAATCAAAAGAAGTCCAGACTGCTGCTTCTTTCCCGGCGAGAGGATTCCTGTCCAGATGCGAAGCAACACCTACCAACAGATACATGGTTGGCCTGAAAGCCTATATAGACTCCCATTGCCTACATCTCCAAACATCACACCAGGCCATGGGCTCCTATCAGCATGCCATCAGCTCTAAGCAAAAGCCACTGTGCGGGATGTCTGGTCTGCGATGTGCCAGCAAGGCGCATGTGCATGATGTGCATGTGCAACTGTTGACATCCTAAGTTGACCAGTAAAAAATACACCAGCCAGAAAGGCGCCAACAACATACAAACGGCCTGCCCGGCCATTCGTGCCATACCTGCTGGACGCCTGAGCAGTAAGCGACAGTGAAACTGCGAAGCGAGCTTTGCCGGTCGTTGTGGATTCGGAACGCTGATGCTGGCTACCAGCTGAAGTCCTCCTGGAAGCACCCATTATCCGAGAAGGACACCACTAGGTCTTGCTGAACCACCCGGTGCCTAGGCGTCTCGCCGCGAGGAGTCGGTGGCGCGCTCGGCCCGCTTCGACAATCACCTGGATAGAGGAGGCTACAGTCAAGCCATGTCAAGACAGATGATGTGGAAGCCGCAAAAACAATTGCAGCAGTCAAAGCAACAACAGCGGCAGCAGTGGCAGCGCTGACAGCAGAAGCAGCAGCGGGACGAGTGTAGCCGTCCAGCAGCAGGAGCAGGAGCAGAAGAGCGGAAACGGCAAAATTGTCACTTCCGAATTCAGAGTCTGGTCAACTAGATCTACGCAGCCCCTTTCTGCAACTTAAGCTCAAGTCCGGACCTGCGGGAGCCACGGCTGCGGCAGGTGAAGCCGAAGAAGCCTGCGAGGCGTGGCAACAAGCACGAGACAACATGTTGCGTGCTGGGAGAGAAGGCTCAGGACTGCCACCCCAAGGCCCAAGGACTGTGTTCCACGTGGTTTTAGCACTTGACCAACCAAAACACGTCTCCGTCTCAGCGAAAGGCAAGCAGGACGTAAGCTGCGACTTGTGAAAGGATACTGATGGAAGAGTTCTCCCTGTAGCAACCCTCGCAGAGATCTTCCTAGCCTGTGCTCTGCCGGACTGCCGTGGGCTCGGCATGTTCACGTACTGCGACTTTCGCTGACTCTGGATGAGCTTGCTATCCTCGGACTGCGATGGACGATGCCTCTCTTGTTTGCAGGTCTAAGCCATGGAATGAGCAAGAAGTACACGAGTTATGAGGCAGTTCAGGTGGACAGGTCAACTTCAGTTTCTCTCGTCCCGACTCTCTCCCTTCTTCGCGAGGTTGAGGGGTTGCTCTCGTAACTCCTCCCTTCCAAGTAGCTGTCGCCATGGCGAGGGTCGACAGCGTCGCAGCTCGATGCTGCAGCCTTTGCTGGGCATCACTCTTGAGTATTTCATATACAACAAACCGGGCTCGCAACATGCGGCTGAAGATGCTGGTTACCGAAACATGATCTGAGGAGGCTGCAACGGACTTGCACAGAAGACCAGCGCGATCCCACAGCCCGGGCGCAAGTACTCCCACAAGCACTTGTTGAGAACACTCTGCCTCAGCAACAGCGCATGCCTGCGTCTGCAAACTCTTATGGACCGGAAGCCCGACTTCACTGTGCATCCGGGCAGCCGTCGTTCGGATTCCCCAAGACTCCCAGTTTGCAGCTTCCTGAGAAGGCGATTCCTCAGCGGGCATGCAATCCAGCCCAGACATTACAGACCTGCCCCAAATGTCGAGCGCATCATGAAAAGCCAAGACATTCGAAGCCCAACTTCAGGAAGGCATCAGAGACGACAGGGAGGTGTTCAGCAGCCGCGCGCACTTTCGGCCCTTCTCTGACGGATTCTCGTGCTCCTGCTCTGCTCCGCTCAAGTCTTTGCAAACCTAACGTGAAACAAAGTCGCACAAGTCAAGTCGCTGCAGTCCTTCTCTGTCCCTGCCAGGTCGACGAGGGTCAGAGTGCCGATGGAAGCGCACGCATCGGAGCCGGGGTTCCTTAGGCTCTCTCTCTCTCTCTCTCTCTCTCTCTCTCTCTCTCTCTCTCTCTCTTCTTCAGCACAGACAGAGAGGCGCACGATCCGGAGTCCGTCTCTCTCTCTCTCTCTCTCTCTCTCTCGGTATGGTGTCTACTTCGTCTGCAGCCGACAGGTCTTGACTCTGCCTTTGCAGCACAGTGGCTGAACGAACAGGTGCACAATGGCATGAGACCTCGTTCGGCAAATATCGAAGCTGGGCTCATTCACACACTGCTGACATTAGCAAGTCCACCTACTGCGAGGAATAGCATCATGGCGCTAGCAAGGATACTTGCGTGTGTGAGAGCATGGCAAACGCAAGGACAGGCCAGAGTCTATACAGTTAACCCAAACGACCTCTGGTCGCACGGGAGAATGTGGGAGATGGTCAAGCAGCGGAGTGGCAATCAGTTTGAGGTTAAAGTTCTAGTCAACGGAGATCAACTGAGCCAACGAGCAAGGGCATTCAGTACAGTTTCCTAGAGGAAATAAACAAATACGAACGCGCACCCATCCTTTCATTAGATCTAGCGATGATCTAGCGGTCCTCGGATCTGGCTTTTTTATCTGCACACGGCACTCACGACGGTCTACACCAAACCCTCACGCCGATGCTGAGGGTCCAAGTGCTCAAACAGTACTCAAGGAATCAAAGGACTTTGCAAGAGACTGGGATACTCCAAGCCCAGGGCCTGGAAGAGTCCTCGTTGAAAGAGGAAACACCTCTCAGTCCCGAGTCTGTGACATCATCCCCTTCTTCAGACTTTAGATTCTCACAGACAGCAGTGCGCAAACTTGTGCTTGGTTCACTCTGCCACCACCAAGCCCTGCCTGATGTGCGATTCCATCTCGCGTTGTTCAACAGACTGAGACACATCTCTGCCGTGCGGACGCGGACAATCCTGAGTGCTGCAGCAGCCACGGCCTTCTTGTGAGACTTCAAAGCTTGCAACAATATCATGCCAAGTGTCTGATAGCTGCAACGCTGTGTTTTTGCAAAAAGCTCATCGTGCACGATGTCCTCGTTATGCAGGCTTCCTGCCAAGCCATTCTCAGCAAGCGACGGTCACGGCGCAACACCGCGGCCGAAAAGCTACCAAACACGATACTCACGGAGCTTTTGGCGGCCGCTGGACCCTCAAGCAGTGCGGAACCCGAGTGTTTGCTTCACGGCCTTCAGCAAGGAATGGTCGCGAGTCCTCAGGCGCAGCATGTGCAGGGTCAACACCGTCCCGAGGCGTTATACTTCGAGATGCCGGAATGCATCGCAATGGTTGAGATAGTGCCAAAACTCGGCAAGTGCAATCACAGAAAGGAGCGACAGATACAATTCGAGGATCCACCAGGTCAGTCAGTGAGTCACCCAAGACTTCGTAGCCTTGGCTTGGAAAGTAGGTTGCGACTACGGGCTGGTGCACGCCAGCGGGCCTCACAGCTACACGATCCCCCAGATGTTCTGCGCCTCTTCCTATGCCGAGCCACAGCCTGCGAAAAGTGCGGCTTTGGCTGGCGCCACGTCGAAGAAGCGGCGAACAAAGAGCTCCAGGAGCCCAGGTTCGCTACGGCCTACGAGAATGCATCACTGAAACTTCAATGACGCGTCAATCAGATAGCATCTGTGGAACACTGTCGAGGTGCTGCCGAAGATGGTGTGGGTCTTCCCGCTGCCGGTCCTAGCATTGACACATCACTGTCAGCGCATGAGGCTCATGCCATCTGGTGGCTTCGCACAAGTCTGAGGCCCGCCACTGGCCGTAAGCGAAGAGCGTTTCGTTGACTCCCTGGAAGACGCTGGCAGTCAGCGTGGGGCCCTGATCAAGAACAGGGCCATGAGCAATGCACCACCCCGCACGTCGTGGCTTCTAGGCGAGATTCGCAACGTTCTGCATCCCATGAGTTCCTGAAAACATCAATCACTTCTCTGCAGGCAAGCATCTTGGATCTGGTCAAACACGGTCCGATTGTCATCTTCCGGCCCGAAAACACGCGAGAATTCGTACTCCTCGCACGAAGGATGGAAGGACAAGACCCAAGCAGGGCCCTTGCACCGAAAGGCATTCTAAAAATCAATCCTTGCTTTTTGGACAGGAGAGGGCGAACTCCCGAACTCTCCTGTCCTCGAGTAAGAATCCACGATGACAGCAGACACGCTGGGAGCTCGGAGACGACTTGGCCCAAAGAGCAACTGGCTCTTGAGAAAGGTTGGGCCTGGCAGACTGGCAGAAGGCTAAAGTCATCCCCCCCTCTGATACCCTCACCGAAGGCTTTTCTGGGCGGACATATTGAATATGCAGTGAGGAGAGTAACCCTGAAAAACATCGAAGTCCCCAGCCTGATGCGGACCGCCACCTGGGCAATGTGGGCCCGCTGAGATCAAGACATGAGCAGAGCAGAGCACTGGTGACCCTACCCCAGCCTTTTCCCTGCCCTCGCATGACTGCAAGACTCCTAATGCCCCTCTTGAGTTGTTTGTCGAGGCACCGAAATGAAGGGCACGGGTGGGCGCCTGGGAAGCTGCGGCGGTGATGCCCACAATGCCGTGCAATGTAAAGTGAGACATAAGAAACCGGCCTATTCGCCTCTCCTCGTGCACTTCTCGGCGTTCGTCGCTCACCCTCGGTGCATCGCGGGCTCACGGGAGCTAGTCAGGCACTGCAGCTTGCAGAGACAACCGCTGCACGAAGTCGCCATGCTGTGGGCTAGGAGAACTGCGTCCGGCGACACGTCCTTTGGTGTCCGCCCAGCCATACGCTCGGCACATGCGATCAGGAAGCAGGTAATTAAAAGGAACTGTGGAAATGTCCCAGCTTACAAGAGGTTCGGTGGTGATTAAAATTCTGTCGGTACTGGAGGAAGCTGTGATCCGCGCGTCGATGAGCCAATGTCAAGCTTCTTCATCTAACGTGGACAAACGCTTATGCCAAGTGTGCCAACCGTCGGTGTGGCGATTCGCCCGACGAGAGCACAGCGTCAAAAGCGCCCGACTTCGAAATGCCAAGTGCGGAGGGGGGCGTGGTAACCGTTCTCATGAACTGCACATCGAGGCTTCTGGTGTCCTTTTCAATCTACGATTTCTGCGCGGAGCCGACTCCTCACTGTCCCCTCTGCATCCTCATGGGTTGGGGTGGGCAGGATGGCAGCTGAGGGATCCAAACGGCAAACTCAGCGCAGCAAACTCAGAAACTCAGCGCAGAAAGCGGAACGTGTCCTTCGGGTTCTGCAACTCCCTTCGCAGCTCCTCGGACAGGCGAGGCATGACCGCATGGCGTGACCGGCACAAGCCAGAGCCGGCCTCCAGGTGGCTAAGGAGATCCCGCACGAAGGCTTCCGCCCGCGGCTCGGCGCAGAGCGTCCCCTGTACAGGCCGGTCTCTGTTGCGCAACGAGACGGCCTTGCCCAGCATGCCTGCAGCAAAGTCCTCGTTTCCAACAGCGCGGCTGTCAACCGCTTCGTTGGCAACGGCTCGCCAACGCCCTGGCAAGGCCAGCACAAAAGCACAACCGCTTATCCACGAAGCTGTGCTTAGATGGAATGGTAGCCCGGTCTAGAGTCTAGCAAACTGAAGAATGCAGACCGCCCGACCTCAGCTTCTGGGAATGCTCCCAACTTCTCAAGCAAGGCCTTCGCCTGCGAACAGACGATCTCGTTCCAAGGAACCCGCAGCAGCGCAGGAGCACCGCATGCAACAGCATATGTAGGGCAGGACGTTTACAGCTTAGACATGTCATATCGCGTCTTGCCCCACGAGCAACCGAACTAGGAACCGACAGCCCAATTCCTTAAAGGATTACGACGAGGTAGTACGTCACCTTTTCGTGGCCATGTGCGGCTGCTTCTGCGGCCAAACAGCGGGCCCGTTGAACGTCCGTCGAGGGTCCTCGTCCAAAAGCGGACATTGATTTTCTCGTGCGTGAACTCATGACGAAACCCGCCTGTCAGCAGCACCACGGCGAGATTAAACTGTGCATCAAGGTTTCCCTGTGCAGCAGACTTCTCCTCGGAAACAGCGAAGCAGCAAGCAGCTGAGCAGCTCGGGCGGGCTTGCTTCTCCCGGTATAGTCCCGAGTGTTACAAGACATGTCAGGCCCCCTTGGCCCTTGTCAGCGGCTGCAGCCTGGATTCATACCAGCTCTTCGCCTCTGAGCTGTCTTGCGCTGTGCCAAGGCCCTGGTCCACCAGGTATGGCCCGGCCGGCGCAGTAAAGAGCTTCTTGCACAACTGGCCATCTACCTGCACATCCCCCGTCTGGCCTGGGCACACATAGCGCCGAGGTTGCACTGTGCCGCCGCTTGGCCCTGCAAGGCAGCCGCACGGAAGAGGCTCGCTGCTCGGGACAAGTCCTTCGAGATGGGACTCGCAAACTGACCGAAGGCTGACTGATGACCCGAAGGCCTGGCTCAGGCTCTGCAATGCTCCTGCTCTCCACTGGAACCTGTAAGCAGCGCGGCACCCAGGGCATACTGTGCCTGGCGTGCAGGCGATGCTCGCTCTGGTTTCCATACTCTGCTTCAGTCCCAGGCCGAGGACTAGCTCCTCAACTCCCGATTTTTGCGGTCCCTCTTACTCCCTTCAAGATCGATCTCAGAAGTGCACGCACAGCAGGAGAACTGCAAAGGCCTCTGCGCTCCCAACAGCTGCTGCACGCTCCAGCAACGATGCATCCATCAAACACGGCTTCGCTCTATCTTCCTCTCCATCTCCCTTCAAGGGTCGATGACGAGCCGAAGAGGCTTGTCCTTTTCAAAGTGCTACTCCAAGTAGTGAGCACTAAACTTGCTATAGCTGATTATCACAGATGTCGGCTTACGAGATCAAGGCCGGTAGACAAGCTGGGCAGGCAGAACCAAATTTGGGTAGGCAGAACTAAAATGTTCAAGGTTCCTGCTTCTGTAGACTGTACATCTCATCCCGAAGCCACCGCATGGCTCTACAAGCGAAGGGGTATGACAGCGATCCATGGTCCTCTCCATCCACAACTTCCAACGTGACGGAGAGGTTGGAATACCCTCGGCTTTCCAGAACAACCTTGAAGTCGCGGAGAGTCTGCATCTGCGCCTCTTCTTTGGAGCCGCAGGAGGCATAGACATGTGCAGCTAAAGAGGTCCTGGACTTGCAGGTCTCTTCTTCCAGACGAAAGAAGGCCTTGTCATCCCAAGCCAGAGATGGCGAACCCAGAAGGAAATACTGGAATAGCTTTGAACAGACATCATCCAGCATGGCATGGGCTACTCCGCTCCCTCCGAAGGATTTCCCGATCAAAGCGCGTTGCTCCTTCTGAGTGCGGTAAGTCGTGTCAACGAAGGGCACGATCTTCGAGGCAAGGAAGCGGACAAAGGTCGTGGCATGGCCTGAGATGTCCTTTAAAGAAACAGCCCCTGGAGCACCCCAGGGACTCTCAGCAGCAGTTGGCAGGTAATCCCTCGCACGAGTCGGACGCAAAGCATCCCACAGACCTCTGACATTGATGGAGCTGTCATGATTGCAGAAGTCTTCCTCGATGTCGGCGACGATCCCAACGACAATGAGGTCAGGATACCAAGTTGTTCTCTTGAAAAAGTGCTCCGTACGTGCGGCAGTAGCCAGGAGTGGAAACAGATACGGCTCCGCGTCGAAAGCATAAACTACAGGATAGTGTGCCCGTAAGGCGGCGGTGTGGTACTGCAGTGGTAGCGAGACGAGCAGCTTATACTTAAGCCCCTCAGACGAGGTCAGTCTGTGGACGACACATGTCTCGAACACCATTGGAGCTTCTCGTTTGCGGACGACGTGTCGTCGGAACTTTTCGAAGGCAAAACCCAGCACGACACCCAATCCAGCACCCGCCGTGAAGTTATGCAGCCCAGCATACTCACCGAAAGACACCATGGCAGGGAAGCAACCGAGAGTGGACGGGCCCCTTGGCTGGTGCCAGTTGCCTCGTGACCGATCGCCACTTGAAGTTGCATGACACATGGGCTACAGACCCCTGCTCAAGTCGAGCTGAACAACCTTCCGAGTACAGTGCAAGCCGTTTCTCGTTTTTGTCGGTATGCCCGGTTCAGCTGAAGATGAGAGTAACAGTAGGATCTACAGTATCCCTGGACACCTCCGTCTGTGCGAAATGCACATCTTCAAGGAAGCGGAAAACTCGCTGCCCGCTGCGCAGCTGGGCAGTCCCACAGGCTCCTTGGGAGCGCCAAGCTGGTGCCTACCAGCTACAATCAGTTCTTTTGAGTAGTCACTGAGGTGCCAGGCAAGAACCAGCACAGCCATAAGAGCAACTGCAACAGTTGCTGTGAAAGCGGCTACTCAGACAAGGCAGAAGCTGTTCACTGTGCCTCCGCTGCAAGTAGAACGGTCTTGCTGAGGACCCATGCACACGTGTACGCAGGCTATGCAGGCGTTGAAGTGCCACAGAGAACGGGCAAAGGTCAACAGACGTGCCTTGGTGTCCCACGAAGGCTTTCTCCATTTGCCTCCGTCCATCTTCTGTCGAAAATATGCCAATCTCACCTTCAGCTGTGGGTATCCGTGATTCAGCCTCCGAAACTTGCAAGACAACTTTAGCAACTTCACTACGAGACACAGGTGTCCGGGAGGACAGCCTCGGACTACGACAGAGCCCATCCTGGGCCAGCCTACCCCCGAACTGCATGCTCTGCATCAGATTAGCTCGGTAGCACCTCCAGTCGGATATCGTAGCCCAGTTGAAACTTTCGTACAATGCCAAGGTTAGGTTTCGGCAGTTTGCTGTTCCCCTGGTGCTTACAAATACTCAGTGTCTCAATGCTCGGGAAAGCCGCCAGAGGAGATGTAGCCCACAAAGATCCTTGGCTGAGTATGTGAAGCCTCCGCTGCCATGGCACCAACACGTGCTGCCCAGCTGCCTCTCCTGGCTCACCTTCATGGCGTAGGGGTTCTTCGCATCCTTCGAGATGGCCTTCACGCTGATTGTCTGCAGAAGCTGCCGCGATCCTGCCGCAAACTTCTTCACCTCGGCGGAGGCTCCGAAGGTGATGCCGTGACCGGGGACTGGGAAGCTGCGAGCAAGCCGTACAGCCCAATGTGTTCAAGCATCATTTTGTCGACAATTGGCTTATTCCCAGTCGAGACCAGTAGCTCTTGCACAGACAGGGTGGGTGGTGAGGGTCTGTGTTTTAAACTTACAACAATTCACGACGAGCATCAAGACGACATGTCACGGCAGCTTTTGGCACAAGGGTCAGAAAGCTGAACGAGCCCACAAGGGGCGAAACCGGTTCTTAAACAGTGGCCTGGTGCTGAAACGGCTGCCCGTTCGTGCCCTGCTTTGATAGCTTCACACTCAGAGAAGCATTGGGACTGCTGGGAAGGGCCCTGCTTAGCTTGAACAAAGGTGTAGCACCAGTCAAGCCCTCCAACTGAAAAGCTAGCCGCTAGCCTGACTTTGAGCTGCGCCGAGGCTCGGTGAAGTCACGACAGAGCCCATAGATGAACATTCCAACAGATGCAACTTGCCACACCGGCATTCCGCACTTGTAGGTCCTGATAGGTCGGCAGACCAGGAACAATCAATGCAAGCTGCTTCACCCTCAGACCAAAAACCGCAACAATGCAGGGCCTCTTGTCTCGAATGTTCTCCGGGACGAGGTCACCCGTGTGCGTAAAGAGGCGAATGCTCACTGCCTGCACTGGCAGCCGACTTTGGTTCATGCAATTGGTCACTTCACTGCATCGCCTTGTGCTCATCCCTGTCCGGCAGCAGCAACCGATCATCAGTGAGCACAAGGCTGCAGACGAACCCATTTGCCTCCGGAATACAGGAAGTGAAGGCTTCACAGCGTCGGAAAATCCAAAACGTGGCGGAACCGGGATCGCCTGCATCGCTTTTTCAGCTATGCTCCACAAGCTCGAACTCCTGCGCTCCGGCTTTACGCAAACATTGGAGGATCTCTGTGTGATTGACACACGCTTCGATCTCGCGGTGGCGCCGGTCATACTTCATGGAGTTGGCAATCGACCAGGGCGTGCTGCCATTTTTCAAAGGCGTGCATGGGTTGGCTCGGGCCTGTAGCAGGCACTTTAGGACGTCCACATGACCCTCAGCGACTGCAGCTAGCAAAGCCGTCAGCCCATCCGACCCTGTCTGATTCACATTGGCCTGGGCTTCTAGCAGCTGGCAGACAATGTCAACTTGCCCTTCATGGGCTGCCATCAGAAGTGGAAACATCCCGCGAGAGTTCATCCTCTCCATGTTGGCGCCGGCATCGAGCAAGCAGCGGATCGCCTCCTGCCGCCCTCCAGCTGGCGCACCGTCGACCGCAAGTAAGAGCGGGGGATCGTTGTCTTTGAAAGCCTTTTCTTTGTCAGCTCGAGCCTCAATCAAGTAGCGAATGATATCCAAATGGCCGTTCAAAATGGCCATAATCAAAGGGGTGTGGCCACGTTGCGTTTCGTTGTCCAAGTCAGTGTGAGCCCCTGCCTCCACCAGCCTCCGAACCAGAGCTAGCTGTCCATGCTCTGCTGCGATCAGCAGAGGTGTCTTTCCATCGCTTGCCGGGTGGGTCAAGTCAGCACCGGCCCGCAGAAGCAGTTCCAATACTTCCAAGTGGCCCCGTTTGCAAGCCTTGAAAACTGCAGATTCTTTAGCTTCATCGGGACTGACGCAATCTGGGTTTTGAAAGCTTTCAAGGATTTGTTGGACTCTCTTGGTATATCCCATCTCGGCCGCAACCAGGAGTTCGTCCCCGAAGTCTTCCGTGGTCTGCTGAAAGGTTACTCGGATTTCTTGTGGTCGACCAAGATTTTCCCACGAACATGCTTCCGGGATGATCTTGTCTTCAAGGAGCAGCTGCTGTCTGAAGGAGGAAATGCCGGTTTTGGCCTGGATGTATCGGCGAAGGTCATCGCGGAAGTTAGGTGTGGAGACTAAGTCTGCCTCGTCGACAAGTGCTTCAAGGATCAATTCTCCTGTTAAAGCTGACAGAACCCGGATCGCACAAACACCCGTGAGCTCGGGCACATGAGCCATGGCGTGACGGGCCAAGCGGCAAGGATCACCTGCTGGACAACTGCTTTCAAGCAAATGTGTAGGTGTGTCTTCTGTAAGGGTACAAATGTCTGCGAATGTCCTCACCGATAGTCATGATACAATAATAGGTTTGTCACGCGAGAAGTGGCTGGATATTTTCCAAGCCTGCGTGAAACAAGCCACGCTTCCCCCTAAGCCGACGAAAGAGTCGGGGGCACCGGAGAGCACTGTCAAGGTGGGAACAGTGGCGTCGCTGAAAAAATCCTGGAATTCACGCAGCGACTCTCAGGAATGCTTTCACCTGGCCTTGTAGAGCAGCGCTGCCTGCTTAATCAGCTGGAGGATCACACTGACTGAACCGCATGGTGCCTAACTGCCATAAACACTTCTTGCAGACTTGGCACAGGCTCTGCAGTTACCTCAGAGCTCTCGGCGTTGATGGCCTCGAGTTGAGTCAATTACAAGGGAAGCTTATGAGCAACAGAAACTCTCCAAGATCCCCCACCTTGGCTGTTCTCCGGTCGAAGAGCAGAACTGCACCGTCCCCACCACCAGATACAATGAAGTCACCTGGAACAGGTCCCAAAAGCGCATACCAGAGCAGACAATTGACAGGCGGAACGGTCGAGGGTAATGCTTCGTTCTTCGGAGTGTGCCTGAAACCGCCAGCGACACGATGCCCGCTTTGTGTCCTGTGAAGACTGCCTGCCGCTCGAACGTCTATCGCGGTTCAGACGAAAGTGAGACTGAGAAGCCCGAAATACACGAGAGCAAGCCACACACCTGACTTCCATAGGACCCAGAACATCTGGGTGGGTGTACTGATGCGATGCATTAATGTGCCCCGGGGGCTCTCAAGGCCTCACAAGTGCGACTGGCAGCTGCCGTTGCTCTCGTACCCTCAGCTCCCTGAGAGCAGAGGTTCCTGAAGGTTCATATGACAAGATACCGGTTAGAATCACTTTCCTGAGTCGTTGCACGGCTGACTGCATGTGCATGTGCACGAACCAGGCCAAGCCCGGCAAGGCCAAGAAAGCCTGTGAATACTTTGTGTTTGGCGGCCACTAACTTGCAGCAGACTCAGTAGGCTTGCTGGACAACCGGGTGGGGATTAGACGGGGGTGTCTGCGCAACTCTTGAGCGGTCGCATCTCCAGAATTTCTCGGAGTTGCCTCGCGCTGACCGGTGGCAAGGTTCCACTGCTGTACCAGGTTGGCGTAGTCGCCAGTAAAGACGCTGTCGCCAGAAATCGCCAGCGCTTTCACATACCTCTGGGCGACCTGCCGCAAGGAACCGCGGCTTCAGAAGAAACTGAACTTGCTCGGATCTTCCATGTTCACATGCTGCACATGTCGACGAAGCGTGTCGACGAAGCGATACCTGGACGTCCCGCACATGTTCACCAGACGTCCTCGACCACATCCTCATCAGTCCTTTCGACTCACAGGCCCGCGTCTATGCAAACAGTCCTGGAAAGCGTAGACCGTACAAATCAGCATCCCCCTACTACCGCCAACTCCGAAAGTGCAGCCAACTGGAAGCCAGCCTGAGCTATCGCCCGCAATGACGAGGTCTTCCGTGATCTCGCAGGCCGGAAGATATGAACTGCTAGCAACTTGCAGGCAATTCGCGGCAACTCAGCCAGGCCTCGACGCACTGCATACCTCCAGTGCCCTGAAAGGCCCGCAAAGGCGCACCATGACTCGACCACTCGCACAGGAAGCCGTCATCCGAAGCACCTCACAACGGTGCAGCTGCAGAACCCAACCGAGCGAGAGAGCGAGAGGAAAGGAAGGCAAGGCCACTGTAGTGTACTGCAACGAAGTCTGGGCATGGCGCTGAACAAAGCAGGTATGGCCGGAAGAAGACTGGCATCGCTCCTGAGGACCGCACAAACAGCTTCAGAAAAAAAGGATTTTCGCACACATTTGCATTTAGATGTGCCCGTCTGCATGTGTGTGCATGCAATGCTTTGCTGAACACATACAGATGTATTGGCGTGTAAGGATATACTTGAACACGTGGCGGGAGTAGGTCGTGTGCCCGTGTGCGTGTACCCATGCCTCTTCACGTATCTTGCCATTGCCATCAACATTCACGAGCCGTGCACATGCGTGCAGGCTGACAGACCTTCCGGCTTTCAAGCAGAGTGTAGCAGAGGCGCATCCAAACCTTCCAACCCATAATCTTCCATTTGAACTGAGACGTCGTTACAGCAACATACAACGTACACCCCGGGATTCCAGCACCGAATCATGTGAGCTTTTTACACGGACACGTTTACGTCTTGCAGTACTCTAACACACCATGAACTTGGCTTCAGGGTAGGTAGCAATGCCTTGCCTCATACAACCCACTGTTGAGTGCTGGATACTGCAGTTCTCTGCAAAGTTGGTTTTCATTGACAATGATACCATAAAAAAGACTTTTATCCACAATCGCCGGCCGTTCAAAGTGGCTACCAAGCCATCCGAAATTTGCATTGCATCTCGGTTGCGAGCATGGAAGATTTACATCTTGTAGACGTCTGTATACTATTCATACACACATGTGAATACCTCGTTCTCGATCTTTGCATTGGCAAGTGTGCACAAACATGCAACAAACTGAACAGTCATACTCTTCTTTAAACGCTACGTCTGATCAGACCGTAGTCTGCTGCACCATGCCACACACATGCTGCAAACGACTGTTGCAACGTGTGGGGACGCTTGCATTTCAGATTGGCGAATGCTTGCTAACCGTACGAATTACGGAATGATGCGAATCGTGAGATCGTCAAGTTCGTCGTTTCTTCGCGGTTTCCCCGAAAGCCTGTAGAACTTCACCCGGCAATCCAGTATGACAGGATCTGCCACTGTCTCTTCCAAAGTCTCGCCGATGACTCGCAGGACGAAAGCTTAGCAGATGCGAGCAGCCGGATCTCTAAAGACTCTACAGATTCCACACCCTGCACACCAAAACACATACCGGGAATGCACCTGCGTTCCTGCCTGTGCGTACGTACACATGCGGGCACGCATGCATGCATACTATATGTACAGACATACACACATACCTACGTACATACATACGGTTACATACGGACGGACCGCACGACCAGGACTGGGGATGCTTCCAGGAGTCCGCAGCTTTTGAATGGCTGTCTGCACCTGGCTTCAACAGAACTTTCGATACAAAATCTGGAGCCTCGTTAATGTCGTTCTCATTTGAACTCGCTATTGCCTTCTTCAGGCTCACATCTTTGAAGTCTTCCTCCTTCTTGAGCTTCGCATGAAGTGCTCGGTAACCAGCTGCCGGGTCCTCCACCGTCAGCTCCTGCCAAGCGCAAGCCCTTCAGACGCAGTCCGTGGCTGAGCTAAGGCTGCCCTCGCTTTCTTTGATTTGCAAGTAGTCCCATCTGGTTTCTGCAGACCGCGGCCCTTCCCCTTTGGAAGAGCGCCACCTGGCTGCAAAACCCTGCCTGCAATCTCTGTAGCAGTGTATCGGGCGAATCAGCCATGGCTGGGAGAAGCCGAGGAAAATCCAGCTCCGTGGTACAAGCTGCGAAGTATCGGCATTTGCCCATGCTCCGTGTGGTCGCCTGTCGTATTGAGCGCGTCTTTGCTGCTGAAGTGTACGTTCTGGCCAGCCGCAACGGCTTCAAAAAACAGGGTTATGCAAGCCCAGCATAGCATGTTCTGGTGCTAGCAAGGACAGTCACATTGCTTCGACAAGGTTGCTGGGATGGGTTGCATTTTGAAACATCGCAGCCAGGCATTGTCGGCAGGGGGCGACGCAAATGTCGCGGCCAACAGCCGAGGTCGTCTGAGAACCGAAATCCTGCCGTCTTCAGCTGCCTCCATCGTCTTCCACCATGTTGGCTTCAGCAGTTTTCCTGAGCAGATGCCAAGATTTTTCCATCCACGAACAACGCAGTCTCACAACCAGCTTCAAGATGGCATACAGGTCAGCACTGCCAATCTGAACGTGCTACTGTTGCAATCCAGCTGCAAATCCCCCTGGTCCATGTCCTCCATGTCGGACAGCTCATCCTCCAACTCCTTTTCAGCCTTCACAAGGAGAATTTGCACGACAACAATGCCTCGTTTATGGCGCTCCTGCTCGGATTCCTGGTCCATCTTATGGTCGACGGGCCTGAGATAGCAAGGCTGCAAAGAGCAAACGGTTCGCACTGGAGAGCAGAAGTTAAGGCTGCGTACCCATCGTTGTGAGATATCCTCACGTGGCAGATCTGCAACTAAACTCCCATGGTTTCAAACAGCTGGTGCCTCTGGGGCCCTTTTGGCGGAGGGAACTCTCCCGGCGGAGCCTCCATTGAGGGTCACATTGCATACACCAGAATGAAATCCACCGAACTTGTGGCTCCGAGATCTGAAGCTGAAGAATTGCTCGTATGCCTTTGCACCGAGAGGAACTCGCTCCAGGTCCTGTTGCACACACAGTTCAGTGGTGCCACAGATACGGCACACTTGAGGTATTGAAATGCCTCCTCGTTGGAACGCTTCAATCGCAGCAGGTTTTGTACGGCCCGGAAACCAAATAGTACGCACAGGACAAAACCAAACAGAATCTTCAAAGCACACCGGTTTTTGTCACATCCTTGTCATTGGGCATCTCACCATTTGTCTTCTCCAGCGTCGTCTGGCCAGTCGGCTTGCCTGATACAATCTTGCTGCGAACCAGCTTGGACCACAACTGCACCAAGTCCTAATTTGACTTGCTGGCTTGAACACGCAAGATGACTGCACCAAGGCTCGAACCGCTTTGGTCTACCACTGGGCCTTTCGGAACGAGAGGCGGCTTTATGGGACCTTCGTCCGCCTGTGACTTCAGAAACAAGCAGACATGAGGAAGCGTCCACTTCATGAGGGTTTGGCGGGATACCTTCCCCTCCTCCAGTGGCCTCATACATGTACTTCTTGAAGCTGCTGGGCTCTGCCAAGAAGACGCTGGTTCGACGTGGGCGACAGCCTGTGCAACTGAAATGATGCGTTTGAAGTCTCGTTGAGTCTCGTCATTTACGCCACAACACATGAAACCTACCAACTTCTGCTTGTTGGACAGACTATTCCTCAATCGAAATCGCCGTGCAATTCTCGTGTGCGTCCGGCTGCGAGCCCGACCGAGCCGGTTGAGCCCATCAGGCAGGACCTGAACAGTTTCTAGATCAGGCCCAGCAGTACACATGCCATGGCCGTAGTCAAGCTCATAATAGTTCACAAAATTCTCGCGGCCTGCAGCCAGGATTCCACGGAGCAGGCCTGAGGCTCAGCACTCAAGGAACGGGAGCTCTTGCTTGAAGTCCCATCTAACTCACAGAAAGTTCGCTGTTGCGACAGCTTTTGACTCGTCGTCGCTTCGCAGAATCCCATCCGATCAATCGGTTCTACCACTCCGGCGCTTTCAGCGCGATGTGTGGGTCGCAATCATCGTAGAAAGGATCCATGATGTGGTCATACCCAGGGAAGCCGTCCGGCCAATACTTCTTGACCTCGTGGGTGATCCAGCGGATGTCGCGGCCGAACATAGTCTTCCACGTCCATGCTTTGTCCTGGATGGGCACCAAAGGATCCACATCCTCGCCCTTGTGGTAATACCACAGCCAGACCGGATCACGCTTGAAGCGTCCATCATGTCGGTTCTTGGACTTGTGCAACCAGACGTAGGATCCACCAGATTCCCAGTGCGCTGTGTAGCCCGGCACGGAGCCCTTCACAACAATGATAGACTCGGGCATATTGTCCTCAACGGATAGCACCAAACTAGAAAAACAACTGATACTCTGCAGTCACACCGTCTTGGCAGCTTCGTTCGAGCAAATATGCCGGTCCTCATCGATGCGGTCCATAATTTTGATAACCTTCAGATTGTGGGCGATACTCTTGCAGACACCTGGGGCCATCTTCTGTGGGACACCAAGCCAGATTCTCAACTGTCTAGAGTCTAGCCGTGCCGTCTGCCTGTGACCTTATCTCAGCACCACGCCCTGCCATCCGGCCCTGTGCTTTCCAGGAAGAACACGCTTGGGGCGTGCGGCACCGATGGAACCTTCTCTCCTGCCATGTAAACGAAAAAAGCCTCGTTTAAGATTTTGCGCGCTGCTTGTACAGTTATTGCTGACTAAAGTTTGACTGAAGGTAACGCTGCCCCTCCTGTGGTGCTTGGAACCATGGGTCATCGGACCACGCTTGCCGCCCCATCTCTTGATCCTACCCGCAAAGCCTTTTCCTTTCGCCCAGCCTCAGCTCCAACACATTTTCAAGAAGCATGCAGCAAGAATGAAACACTTCTGCACGTCAATTCCAAGCGACCATGCACGTCGACTGTATCGCCCTCCTCGAGGAAGTCTGATGGCCAGACTTTCTGTCCGACCTCGTACTTCTCCCAGTCTTGGGGCCTGCAAAGCGGGATGGCGGATTCGGAAGTTGTGTTTTGAAAAACAAAGCGGCGGAAAGGACAAGAGCAGAGGAGATCGGTCCGAAGCCTGATGCGGAAGTCCTTGATCTTTCTCAGGGGTGGGCACTCGTTTCGTGCCAGACGCTGAATCTGCAGCGCCTTCTTGCTGTTCTTTTCCTTCCTTGCCAAGACACAGGCTTTCAGCTAAAGCTTCCTGTATCAACCTGTAGTTCGTTGATCCTTCACCGAAAATGACCGTGTCA